TTTTTTACAAGACCTCAAAATCAAAGTCCCTTTCGAAATCATCACTGAGGTTAGTCGACGCGAATTGTACGTGAAATCGAAGCTAAATAATTTGCGAATACAGAAACGCTTTTCGAAAAATAAAATTTTGAAAATTAGAAGCAAAGAAAAAGCAACTGACGAACAATGCTGGAAAACATTAAAAGCAAAACTCATACTTGGCCAGGTGTAGCACTTATTGTTCTGATCCTTGGCGGCATAGACTTTGTGAATCCAGCTTGCTGCAATCTTTTACAGGGAGCATACTATCACTGGTAGAAAACGTGTTTAAATAAAACTTATCATGCGTTTCATTAATCTGTATCACGCGTTTTTAAAAAACGAACGAGAGTTTTGTTCTTTGCACGGCGGCATTACATTTGTGTTCCATTTTATTCGATTATCATTCAAGCCTCAATGTACGATCAGTCCGACCCCTCGAATGAAATTGCTTTAAAAGTCATGAAATGTCTCTGAAAGCTCAAACCTAAAACTCGTGATGATTGGAAAGATTGCACGCTTTAACAATCTGTATGGACAGGAAAGGTCAACAGGGACGTGTCTTGAAGAAATGGCAAGAAACCAAGAGGCTGTGCGTGTAAGTATCGAGTAAAGCTGGAAATGACCCAAATTAGAATCGCCCTACCTCAACCTTTGCCTGAAGAAAGCCTACTATTGGGCTAGTACAGTGGTACAAATTATTTTGGGAAAAAATCTTTTTTCATTTTTTAAAGAGCGAAAAACGAATATGGCCATTTAACGGGACACGAGAGCGTGAAATTAGTTAATTTCAATATTCGCTCAAACAAAAACCAAAAGGAATGTAACCAAACTTTGAACGATTATTTTTGTACCTTAGAACTGTTAGCTGAATTATTAAATTATATTGTGACAAAATTTATAGGGAGATAATCTTCTCCGAATACGGCATACTTTGACCTTTCGTATCAATTGCAAAATAGCCGAAGTTCAAACAGCCCAAAACCAAGGTAGTATCTTGAGAACACTAAAAACATTCACTTTCCCAGAAAGGTCACTTAACCTACTAACTGTGTTGCGAAGGAGCTTCTTTCTTACTTACCACGTCATGACGCATCGATCGTACACTGAATACATCCACGTAAGAAATACTAAATAAATTTTTAAAATTCAGGAAATCATTGAAATGTCACCAAAATTGTCTTTGGTACTTCTGCATGTGAACACATATTAGTGCATTTTCCTTTTCTAGATTTAATTTATAAAAACTACCAAAAGAAAAGAAGAAAAAAAGAGACATGACAAAACTTGCTTTTTTTTATTCGTACTTGTCTGAGTTTTAAGGTATCAGGGTAAACCTAGCGACCGTTGTCCATTCAATTCTTAATAGCACAAAACCTTTTAATCGAAACCTCAACAAAGTATACATTTTCTAAAAGCTGGACAAATGTAGAAACTATTCCTATTTTCCTTTTTGTAAAATATATCTATCCTTTTAAGTTAGAGCGAATTATTCAAATTTTCACCTTGGCATGTTCGCGGTGTTCGATGACAGCCGGTAATAATCGGAAACCAATGGTTATAACTTTTTCGAGATCACAAGATATCACCTGTCAAAAGTTTGTCTCCGATTTTTGATTAGTTGCCCCGTTGCTTTTTTAAGCGCTCCTAAAGTTATGACGCTGATATATCAGCTGTATCCGAGCCAAAATCCACGATAACTTTGGAAATAAGCAAAAAGTAAAAAAATCCGARACACACTTTTGAAGAACAGCTATTCAAGATGATTTCCTCGAAATTTCAGTTAAATCGGTTAAATTCCCTTTGATATCGGACTCAAAATGTACAGGTAACTGAACGCAAAATCACTTCCGAGAAAAACGCAAAAATGTTTCTGACTGAGCGGAAGCGCCTTTGTTGACACATACYGTATTTGTTTTCATTACTCACTATTAAAAATCACTAYCGAMATTTTTTTGGGGAAAATCGAAGAATGTTATATATTTTATCGCAAAATGTRAAAATGTAAAAATCGATACTTTTGAGCAATTTTGGGGTACCTTGATACCTTAATTCAGATACGTATCGTGGCAAATGCTGAAGCCTGAATGTTGCAATAGCGGTTTCCACATTCAGAGCTTTATACCTAAGATAGCATTTGTATATTTAATCTGTAATCGGCTCGCTGATGACATAGCGGGAGGTCGTGGTTCGAGTCCTGGTCGGACTAACAATCAGGGCCTTAAAATAACTGAGGAGAAAGTGCTGCCTTTGTAATTATATCTGCAAATGGTTAGACTTTCAAGTGGCTCGGATGACCACTTTAAATGGCGGTCCCGTCTTTCCACACTTCATTACTAACCAATAACGGAGGGATGTAAAAGAACCACTGTGGACGTAAAGAAATCCTGGCAGTGACCACCCTCATTGCCTACACTTCATACAAACCATCTCTCATGCTTGTAAAAGCGATCTGTCATTCACAACTCAAAGTAATGTGCCTTTGATTATATCCACATAGAAATTAAAGGGCGCTATATAAATCATAAATCATCATATTGTATTTCTTACATGAAGTATCCAGTGTACGATCGATGCGACAAAGCGTTAAAATAGGTCCGTTAATAAGTAAGAAAGAAGCTCTCTCGCAACACAAAGAAGTGTCCGCGGTATTTCAATCGTAGAAAGTTAGTAGAATAAGTGACCTTTCTGGGAAAATGAATGTTTTTAGTGTTCTCAAGCTATCTTCTACCTTGGTTTTGGGCGTTTGAACTTCTGCTATAAGTAAATAAATCACTTTTATTTAAGTGTCTAGTCGTTCTAGCGTTTCGCACTAATTGGGGACACTTTTCGCTCACACGCACTACCCACTACCTTAAATGTTCTATGCACACAACACTCAACTCACATGTTGATTTTTACGGAGGGAGGAAACCGGAGAACCCGGAGAAAACCCTCGTAGCATTGGAGAGAACAACACATCAAACAAACTCAATTCACATGTGGCGACCGCAGGGCTCGAACCAACGACCCGACCCGTTGGACTCATAGTGGTGAAAGACGACGCGTTAGACGCATTTTGCACTTCTATGCTTCGTTTGCACGTGAAGTCATAGAGCAAGAAAATAACAACTTAAAATTAATCATAAACGCTATGAACTCGATTCTTCGATATGTTTTAGAGAACTATGATGTGACTAAGTGTAGAAAATTTCAGATCGTTTCATCGTTTTGTTTCCGAGTTGTGCGAATCTTATTTTGTGATCGGTAATCCTCACCTTACGCTGAACAAGTGTCTGAAAATTCAAAGAAATACCGATATTTTTGCCAAAGCAAAATTTTTAGTGTTATACAAACTTATAAATTGATTGTACATTGATCGTACATTGAGGCTTGGACGATAATGCAATAAAACGGAACACAAACGTAATGCCGCAGTGCAAGGAACAAAACGCTCGTTCGTTTTTTAAAAACGCGTGACACAGATTAATGAAACGCATGATAAGTTTTATTTAAACACTTTTTCTACCA